ATTTTTTTTTGATGATCAACACAGTATCTTTATAATGTCTAAATCAACTACTTTCAACTTGCTATTTCTACAACATTCCTTAGTTGATCATTTTACAGCTGATTAACGTCGTATATTCGTTATTTATACTGATTCCGTTAAATCTTTTTATAAAGTTACACTATTATTTTACATAAATTTATTATATTGGCATATATGGTTCATTTTTACGATGAATTGAGTTTTAAATTTACTCAAATATTGTTGTTTATAACGAATTTTGGTCAAAACCAATATTAGTTTCATTTGATGTATTTCAATGGTCTAACCTAGCCTCAATTTTATTTCTAAAATATAAATCAACAATATAGTTGTAAGCTTATATTTGCTGATAATATTAAACTTGTTATTGAATCGTGTTGTAAATTTTTATTAAGATGTTGTATTATTGCAATCTGATTTAAACTTTTTTTTTTAATTGATGAAAAAAAGAAAAACTGTATTATACTTAATATTAAAAAATGTCAAGTAATGACTTTCTCACGTTTACGTTCCGATACTTTTTTCGATTATAATATCAATGGTGTGCCTCTCCCAAGAATAATTGGCGTTATTATGGATTTTAGCGTACATTTTGAATCTAAATTAACATTTAATGCTCATATTCTCTACATGAAAGATAACGTCTTAAAAGTGCTTGGATTCATTTACAGAAGCTATGAAAAAATAACTTTATTTAAATCTGTCTTTTTTAATACGCTCAATTTTAGAATATGGTTCCATTATTTAACCACCATATAATAATGGATTAATAATTATCCTTGAGAAAAATCAAAATAAATTCTTATGCTTTTTAGCTTTCGAGTTTCGAGTTTAATACACCCAGAACTACTGTACATATTACATTCTTTACTTACTTAAATTTTAAATCCTTGAAACAGCGCTGAATCATTCCTGATTTATATTTTATTTATATTATTAAATGGCTATATTAACTATCCTAACTTCTTGAGCTGTCTATAATTCAAAGTTTTCCCAGCTCAAATCCGATCATCAAATCTATTTTATTTCAAATTTCAAATTAACTCATTATTTTACTTACACACTATTCTTAAGAGTCAAGAACTCTATGTATTATTACAATATCAAACCGTTTTATTATATTTCCTTTCGCTTATTTAAACACCATGCTTTTGTTAATATATTTATGCATATAAATTAATATATTTATAATATAACTTACATTTTGTTTGTTTTTATTAAATAAATTATTATTATTGTTTAATAATATCGTCGAATAATATGTATTAAATAAATCCAAGTATTTGGGTCCTAATCCATATAATAATATTTTAATAAATAAATAAAACGTGTTGTCGGATCTAATAAAATTAATTTCATTTTTGACGTTTGGATAAAAATATTATTATTATATATATATATATATATGTGTGTGTGTGTGTGTGTGTGTGTGTGTGTAAAGTAATGATACATTGCGCTATTTTTATTTTATTTTTTTATTTTTATTTTTTTTAATTAATGGATGTTCAAGATGGTAAATATTCCTAAAAATATACCACTGTGTCTTCAAGAACAACTATGCAAAATAATTTTTAATTAGAAAAATACAAAATTTACATAAAACTGTGTTTATGACAGTTACTTTTAATTTCTTTAACGGTTGTTACCATAATATGAAAAATAGAATTGTATTTTTAAAAAAACCATGAATATATGTAATTATTTATTTAACAATAGATGTATGAAACGCGCAAAATTAATTAATCAATTGAAATGTTGAACGTAGTTATGTATTAATTACATACTCTTTATTGTTTTCTCATGAAAAATTCAAATATTGAATATATACTTTTAAAATTAGCATGCAAAAAATAACGATTTATATTAATAAAAATAAATTGAAATCACTTAATATCTCGAATTTGTTAGTTATTCAAATTTTGAATATATAAACTTTGAAAACCAATGGCTTAGCGTTTATTTTACCTTTGCGTTTAATTAATTTGTTCAGACGCAGTTTAAAAAAAAAAATTTTTTTTATTAATTATAACCTATAAAAACTTAAAAATCTATACTTTTATGATTTAACACTAATGAAATAAATATTTAAAAAATCAATGCAATGTCATGCTATTTTTCTAATTGGAAATACCTCCCATCTGTTCAACATCTTTTTTTATAACATATTCCCATCGCATTCTTGATCTTCCCAGAGGCCTTTTACCTACATGATTTTGTTCAATCACTGAATGCAGTAGTGGATTTTGTTTTCTTAAAGCACGACTAGCCCACCGTAGTCTTCTATTTCTGATAACCTTCAATATATCCAAACTACCATATTATAATGTTTTTAGCTTTATGTTCTTTTTTTCATCTCCAGCCCCCCAGTTATTTTGTCTTTGACCGGGCCATATATTTCCGCAACACTTTCTTTCAAAGACAATGAATCTGTGTTCGTTCATTTTTCTAAGTGGCCATGCTTCCGATGCATACAATATCGTATTAGAGACGTATATAATTGTTCTTTCATTCTTCGCGATACTGCTCACAAACTTAGTACCTTAGACAATGCGTAGTAACATCTTTTCCCAGCTCAAATTCTTGCTGTTACTTTGTTAGCTACATTATTTTTTTTATTCAAAATAGTACCGATATATTTTAACTATTCTACCTTTTTAAATTCAAAGTGATCTATTTTTATGACTTGTTATAAATACATTTGTTTTTAATTATATTTATTATACTGCTAATATTTTAATATTATGTCATATAATATTACCAATTATAATTCACTTATAATTCAATACCGCATAATACAGTATAATGGTATAAATATATTTAAATAAATGGAAATGATACCGTGCAAGGAAAATATATAAGGGGAAAAATTATCTTTGATAAATATTGTTTTGAATTAATTACAATAAAATAACTGAAGTCATTATATTTTGTTCGAATATACAAATCATGATAATTAAATTCTCAAAAACAAGACTTGTGTATTTTCAATATTTTAGAATATTGTAAAATCAACTGATAAGTCAATTTTCAAGTTTAAGCAAATAAAAACTACATTTCATAAATTTTCAACTTTATAATAATTTATTAATTATTGAAATTTGACTAATTTGTTTAAAATTATGACTTCAAAAATGTAGATATTATAACTTTAAGTATATAAAACTATTTACCTTTGCTTTTAAATAGAAAACCTAAACCAAATTTGCAAATAAACTGTTATACATAAATAACAGCTTTTCTTTTTCCCTATTGTTTTGAAAAGTACTGTAATTTTATTTATTTTTATCGTTCCAACGTACCAACTAGATCCAATTTTCTTACCAGAAAGCATCGTCAAAGTTAAGAATTGAATCATTGTTACTGCTTATAAAGGTTAAAAAGACGTCAGACCCCCTCACACACATTTTAGAAACTATGACAATCATTACTCCCAAGCTAAAATATAAAGAAATTAATTGTATTTATTTATTCTTGTGCAATATGAATTTTACTTGAAATAATTTAAAATTCAAAAATAAACATTATAATTTTACCCGTATTATTTTGCACGCCATTTTTATATTACTTTTTTCAATTAAACTAAATTATGTTATACAATAAATAGTATATGTATAATATTAAATCAAGATATTAAATTGTTTAAATCGCATATTATATGAAAAATATTTTTAAAATATAAAAAAATTAAATTTATCTAATTATAATATTTTCATTTTTAGATTAATATCAGTTATTGTACTTATATCTATATCAGTACAATTTGAAAAATCTTTGAAAAGTTCTATTATGTGTATAATATAATTAATTTTATTTTTAACTTAATTTTATTTAAACATTTAAATAATTAGCACGAATAAAATAATTAATTATAGTAGTAAAGAGAATACACTGAAGTTGTATGCGTAGCTGTAAATGCTGTGATACAAACATAAAGTTTATAATTTGTTTGTTAAATATATAAAATATTATACTGAGATAATAAACTTTTTATGCAATGTCAGTATTTTTCACAAAGTACCTATTGTACCATAATAAAAATGTGTCCGTTGATAAAAATTGCACGCATAGGCACGGAAGTTAAAAATGTGACTGAGTGAACGGTTACCATTTATAGCAAAACATCGCTGGGTCATAATAGACAGCAGACCATCATAACGTGTGGTGCGGGAATTCGGGTAAACGTTTGGTTTAATAATAGTATCGACACGTGTGCTCGGTGATTGAATGGTACTTAATGGTATAATACAGGCATACCGAACACAAATCCACTTAACTTTACAGGGAGTTTATGCCGCGGAGCTGGGGCTGTGTGAATGATTGATCGAGTGCAGTTACCACTGAAAAGCGCGCGTCTATCGGTTTTCTCTTCTTTATTCACCACTAGCCCTCTTTCCAATGGCTACCCACACCATCTTGCCAAGAAATGAAAGGGGGAATAAAAGAAACCCCGCAGGGTCACGGTGGCGGTAGAAACTTTGGAATTTGACAGAACAAAATAAAACGCATTGCAGAAGCGTCGATCAAATCGTGGTTTTACCCTGCGGCCCCCTCGTGGCATACAATTCTCTACAGCTGCAACTGCGGGTCGGATTCAAATGTACATTTATCACCCTTTTATTTGCAATTCGTGTACAGCTCATAAAAATCTGATGGGATGTATCTTTTCGGTAACGTTGTGTAAAAAATAAATAAATAAAAGAATGAAAAAAAAAAAATGCTGAATAATAAAACGTGATAGAGCAACAATAATTAACGTATATTCCTTGACACTTGAAAATTCTAAAAACTTTTTTGTGTGACGAATAAAATTAAACCCGAAAGAATTCAGGCAGAGACTGGAAAAAATTAAAACTACCCAAATAATATGCATTTAAATCGAATACTCAGTTTTCAAATCTGATTAACCATTAAAGTTTTTAATAAAAAATACCACTGCACAAACGAATTAGTTAAATATAATAACTATTGTGTTTATACAGGAGACTGGTCGAATACACCGCCGGATTGCATCATGGTTAAGTGTCCGCCAATCAGCGTTGATGATTCTAGGTTGATCATGGTTGAGTACAATAACACCTACGGCAAACGAGCAGCGTTCAAATGTGCTTGGGGCTTTCAAATGTCTGGTGTCAATTCGATTGAGTGCTTAGCGGATTCCACGTGGTCTCATCGAATACCTACATGTACTGGTAATGTCTTTTTCTATGGATATATTGTATTGAAATACTAAGAGCTGTTTTGAAAAGAGCGTGACTAGTAGATTCTGAAAAATGACTGAACTAAGATTAACTGATAATAGATACAAACATATAGGGCTAAGGACAATTAATAAAGTTGTGTAACTCTTCAAGTTAGATTTATACAGAAAAATCAAGTTAATAGTCTGTTAACTGTTATATTTTATATACATTTTTAAGTTAAACAATAAAGAATAAAAAATTTAACTTAATTACCTTATGTTTAAAAGATAATTTTTTCTTACGTTTACTTTTTAATTAGTTGAAAAAATAGCATAAATACAAAATAGATAAACATCTGCTTAAGTATAATATTATCAAAATTAAATTATCGACCATGAATATAGTAATTGAACTAACTCACAAAGTATATTTAAGCAGCTAATGTCTAATAACTTAAACAAATATCTTATAAAAAGCTCTTTCTGTCCATCTAAATATAATAATTTAAAAAATAACACTTTTTTGCTACTAAATTACTCGTATTCCGTGTGTTGTTTTTGCAATTTATTTCCGTTGAGATGTATACGAGTATATACTTAAATAAAATTTGCTTGGGAAAGTTGACATCGATTGTAAATATTTAGTTTTAATAAATTAAATTAAAGTAAGTGATTTTTAACTAAATTTAAATTTTGTTCTATTTGAATTTTACAAGTTCAAAATAGAAAAATAACTTTTGAATTTAAACTTGACTCCCATTTGTCCATTATAACTTAACGAAAAAAAAAAATATTTAACTTGACTAACTTTGTTAAATACTAATGGTACATTATTATGTTTTGCATGTTTTAAAATAAAATAATATGCTCTTTACGGTTTTACGATAAGCTTTTTTTTTTAATACCAGGTATAAAATCGTATAAGGAATATTAACTATATTTTCAAGTCCAAGCTTTAAAAATTAAACATGTATAAGTTTTTAATTCAAAATTTTAATATTAAATATTCATAAACTAAAATTAAACTAAGTAATTATTTCGATATCTTTAAATTACTCATTAGTTAGCTAATTATATTATGTTAAATACTAATAATTTCAGATTTTCAGATGTCTCTAAAAAGTTTTAAAATGCTAAAATAGTTTAAAAATTTTGTTGTCTCTAAAAATAACTATTTTTATTATTTTGCAAAAATTTCAAGTATTTACCTATATATTCTTATAATTTTTTTTATACAAGTCAATAAAAATTTAAAAAAACCGATTTTGTCTTTTTATAAGTACTCCTGTTTTTTTATAATTGTTTTTAGTTTTTTCATTTATATTTTTTTAAATTACTGAGAATTTTGACTTTATATTCCCAAACTCCAATGTTACAATTATATATCTACTTTTTTATTGAAAAATTCCCTTAATTTTGAAGATCGAACCATTGTTACTGTTATACGAAAGTGATAATAGACACATAAAAAATAGTTTTAAGAATAACACGCACATTTTACAATATAAAACCAATACATTCGTTACTTTACTCTGAATTTCAAAACAAATTATCGAATTTCAAATAAAACATATATGTAATTTTTTATTATTATTGAAATATAACATTTGTAATTTGTAATACATATTAAGCAAAGATCACATAGAAAAATAATATAAAACTATAACTTAGGAATTTAGAGAAAGTAAATTAAAATTATAATCACTTACATGGTTATTTTTCAAAAAAATAGTTTCTTGGTTAATAGTCATATTCATACGCATAATGAATGAACTATTGCTTTAATACAAAATATTTAAAGATTTAGGTATATCTTTTATAATTAAAAATTTTAGTGATTATATCTCATAGTCTTATCTTAACAGTTATAAGTTATAAATTAAATGTCTAATTCAAATAGTATTAATTGTTTTTTTTCTCCTATTTCTGTCAAAATTCTGGTAATAAATATAGGTATATTAATATTTAGAATTAGTTTTATATTATTACTATGTATTATATTCAAGTATAACTATTAATATTTTTAACTAAAAAATATCATTGGTTTTTTATACTGCATAGTACTTAAAATAACTAATATAACATATTATATTATTTAAGTATCTAATTATTATATCTTTAGCTCTAATATTATTATAGACTACTTAATGTGTCAAGTTATTTAAATTTGGGAATCATATTAATTTGTATTTTATAAATACAATGCTCTAAGTTTAGGTATCATTAAACTTATTCATTATTCTATTTAATCATCTACAAACTTTCTAAAAGTAATGTGCTTCAAAAAAGTACTATATAATAAAATACTATAGCTTTTAAATCAAAGCATCTCATCAATCTTATAACTAATGAGTAGGATGGCTGTCAATCTATGATATATATTTATTGTAAAATTCAATAACTACCTAATAACTAATTATATTTCACACTGACACCAATATATTTCTATAAAATTGAAAACTTATATTGATTGATGTACGTTATAATTACAGTTATAAAGTTAATGATAGTTTTATTTTATTGTTCTATTTTTGATAAATATTTTATGAAAATATTTTAAGCTTAATAATTATTAATTGTTTGGTAACCGTTGATAATGAAATGTTTCATTAAAAACAAGTTGTATAATTATTTTCCTTTTATCAGTTATTTTTTTTAAATTTTTTTCCATCTTAGACGAAAAAAAAAATTATTTCCATCTATACAAAATTGTCTTATCGGAATGAAGAAGCGTCTGAGCTCAAATTTGGTAACTTACTTAAAAATTACTGTCACAGGTGATGTATATTCGGGACACACATGTTCAGCCTGCTTATTTTTGCTATCTCGAGATAAACTCAAACCGTCGTACAAAATGGAAGATAAATATCTCAAAAACCATCCCCTCCTGAAAATTCTCGTTTACAGAATGTATCCAAATCACATTCTCATTTTATCATCTCAGTCCAAACAAAATGGTCGGTTCATATCTTCTACTAGTTCATTTCGTCATCCTAACAAAAAAGCACAAAATACTCATAGAAAAACAAAATACCTATACATACTCATATTTATAGCTATAGTTATCAAATAATTAGATTTTTTTATTTTTATATGATTTTGAGGCACTCGTCTATCGAAATAACACTGATAATCTATTCGTGAACATAAAGTTGAGTATGAACAGTGGATTTTTTATCGCTATCAAACCTCTACTCTCAATTATAATTTGCGCAATTAACAACATCATTTTTTTTTATTTATTTATTTTTTTTTTTTTTTGTAATAATAATTATTAGATAAATAAAAACAAACATTTTTCTATCAAATTTTATCAAATTTCCCTTCACTGTTAACATTTAACAAAATGTTACTATTTAAAATAACTAACAAAGTTTTACTACTTAGTTATTTTAATTTATATTTCTTCAATCTAACAATAACCAATTACAATATGAACATGAGTTAAATATATCGTGTGGTACATGAAAATTATCACTCCTTTATTACAATAAAGGGAATAAAATTGATTTACAATTATGTATCACTTAACATACAAAAATATAATACATTTTTCCATCGCAACATAAGGTTTTATGAGAGTAGGCTTACTCTCTCAATTTCTTTTCGCTTTTAGCCTGTCATTAACAACAACTTCTTTACAATTAAATTTTAACCCTAGACAAAATTTACCATACAAATAAATAAACAATATTTTAATGTCTCCATTTTTAAGAAATTTGTAACATAAAATTCATTAGTCACTATCTTTATCCGTAAAAAATTTTGTTCGTTCTAGTTACAACAACTGTCTTATAACCTAAATAAATATTATAAGGCTTATAGCATTATTACAAAACATTCTCTATATAATAGCATCCATCTTCCTTACAACAATTTTTTACAACTCACAAAGAATTCTATTATACTTAACAATTTATTAAAAAAAAAAAATACCTATCAACAATCAAAAGCTCTGTTCATAAATCTACTAAAAATTATACGCAGAATAAAGTATGAACAGCAAAATACTATAAAAAATTAAATTGCAATGAGACACATTAGGAAAGGTGTATTTACTACACCTATGGTTCTGCTGCTGCTACTTTTGCCTCGCCATAATCTCACAACATGCTGAAATCCATTGTTGTTCAAATATATATGGAACAAGAGAATAGTGATCGAGTTAGCCAAGGTGGGGTTGGTTAGATTTAGAGGAAATGGTGGTGTGGCAAGGGTTATATGAGGCCAAAAGCGAAACAGGGATGGAGTAATATATTTCATTAATCAAATTTTAAGGGCATGCGGAATGTAAATCGTGCAGCAGCATCACCAGCACCACGACACACAACAGTAGAGCGTACTCATTCTATCTCTCTCTTTCTCTTTCTATGTAGCTCACAGTCTTTATCTCTCAATGTCTGTCTCCCTGTAACATCCAGTCTTCTACCAAAAATATTAATGAAATTTGTCAATCCCAAAGTTCCGTATACATTGCAAACGTAATTAATTGTTACACTTGACGATATACGCTTTTCCTACTGCTACTCTTGTTTCTGATAATGCCCATACTCATAAGCTTTATACCATACCTATATATAATTTTATGTACAAAATCGATGTCAAGCGATATTTTTTTTTAGTTTATTTTTTTATGTTTTTTCTTTCTTTTAAATTTTAATTGACTTTATTAAATAAAATAAAACTCAAATTAAACATATTATTATCGATCAAAAAAATTAAAATTGATTTATAAGTATTATTGTTTAATCAATGAAAATTACACTTATAATATTCAAAAAAAAATATATATTTAATATAAAATAATGATGGTCAACTACACTTAAAACATTTTTATTATTACATTACGTAAATATTTCTATCACCATTAAAACTAATAACCACTTGGTATAATTAATTTTAAAATAAAACAATTTTATTTTAAAATAAGTTTATTACTAATTATATACTCGGACCTTATCTAAAAATATATATTTTCTTATTATAAATAAATTCATTTCAACTTTAATT